TTTCTAATTAATTTACTTTCAATGTGCACGAGTTCTTGCCCTGGGCCTCTAGTTATAAAATAAAAAAAGAAATTTTAAACTGTGGATGCACACATGGATGATAAAGTCATAAGCAAACATAAGGAAAATATTGTCAATATCAAGAAAGTGGCCACTTTTGTTTGGAAGAAGGCAGCTGTGATTGGGATGAGAGACCTGGAAAGGCTGCTACTGCAGCCATCAAAGCTCTATGGTGGGTGTGGTGGGGTAAATGGTGTTGTAAAAATAACTCAGTAAGCTATGCATTCATTTTGAGCGGTTTTCTGCATCTGTATTTTATTTTACAATAAAAAGTTTCAAATAAGTTTAGTTCTTTTCTAGAAAGTTCTTCTTTTCATATCCAATCACCTTGCACCATTTGATTTCTTCTTTCTGAGAACTCCTGCCTCTGAAAGGCCAGGGCTCTTGGCTCCTCCATAGCTTTGCCTAGAATAACTCTCCCAGGTCACTCAGCTAATAAATTGCAGAGTTAGCACTGAACCCCTGGCTAGCTGATTCTTATCTGGTACTGTAATAGACTGTTCTTCTTTCATCATCCAAATTGATTCAGAAATCAGCCATTACCACCTCTTAGGTGATAAGTCTTCTGGGTTTGGTAGGGGTCTTTCATTACCTGCTTAATTCTTGGAGACCCACATCTCCTTTTACCCCCTGGCTTTGGAACTTAGGACTATATTCTCACTACTGATTTCCTTATGAGTTTATGGTCTTTGGCATTGCTCTCCTTCCCTGGGCAACCTGGGAAGTTTTAATCTTCCCAATCTTAACTTTAGGTAAGGTCACGCCATATGTAATTTGGCCTCTTTTTCAGTTTTTAGCCCACTCATTTAGCTGTTGGGAAGGCTAATAAATCCAAGAGAAGGTAGTACCTGGTTTGAAGTTCTTGCATTAAAGAGGCAGCCAATCTAGTGAATTAGAAGAGTCAGCACAACAGTAGCAACAGGCTCCGTAGATACAAGGTCATGTTTCTTTTTGTTGACCTCTTACCCTGTCCTTGTTCCCAAAACCTAGGCTAGAGGTTTTGGTTATAAGGGTTTTTGATTACAACCACATGTTGGGCTGGAATAGATTTCCCTCATATCCTACCCTGGGTCTTGTAGAGTGAATTGCCCTTTGGGGGCCCTTGGTATTCTTTTCCATCAATGGACCTCATTGGAATAACCTCAATCAATTCAAGGGGACTGTAGTACTATTTAATCCTGGGCTGGAGTCATTGTCTTGATCCCTTTCCTCTTAGAAGCCTTGTTGAGCTCTGCATATTCACTTTCCCCCCAGAGATCTGCTTTAGCTATTGAGGATCTTAAGTAAACTAGCCTGTCCATCCACATATCAAAGGTCTGATGATACCCTTTCCCCAGGAGAGTGGAAACCTATGCACCAGGCAACTCAATTAAAATAACTATTTAATGTTTTCTACTGTAATGATGACAATCTGCCCAGAGGTGACCCTCTTCTCTTTAGACATAGAAGAGGCTGATGAAACCTTAAGCATTACACTACTTAGGTAATAAGCAATTCCAATATTTGCTCTAAGACTTTACTTGACTGGTATATGCTAATTAGGGCTGCCACATCGACTTTATACAACGTAAAATAAAATGAGTGGGGTATTTTATATTTTGTTTTCTATATATTCTCATTAGTTACATATGTATAAATTATTATTAGAATTGTTGAAAGGCTGAAAATAGTTAGTGGTCTTACATTACCACCCTCATGGACATCAGTGATCTGAGTAACCCAGGAAGAGAACCTTTGTATTATGTGACATGAGCCTAGAATATACTCTGTCTCAGGGCTTCCTGAAAGGATGCTCCACTGGGCCTGAAAGACACGTGCATGTTTGTTCATGTCTATCATGAGCCTTGCTGGGGCTTTCTTACTGGATACACAAGCCAGTGTGTGTGTTTGTGTGTGCGTGCACACGCGTGTTGCGTATGTGTCATTACATATCAGAAGGTTCACTGAGAAGGGTATTACCCACATGGTGAGGTGGTATGGGCTGTTAAAGATCTACTTGAGATCAAGAGATACATGGTGTAGACTCCCTTTATTTCTCCTTTTCTTTCACAAATGGTGTAAAATTATTGAGCTCCTACTATAGGTTAGATGTTGTTTGTATTCTGGGGCTTCAGAGATTAAAAAAAGGACTGATTTCTTGACCTTAAAAGACAGTCTAATGGTAAAGAAAGACAAAAGAACTCATGATAACAGCTTGACAGATGGTGGTAAGCTATTTACCATTTCCTGCCTCCTCCATTTCCAGAGGGGCATTTTGTTGGAGGGAGGCCTGGTCCCAGGGATTCAGGTGACTTGAAAGAAAAATTTATTACTCCCCAGTCAATGTATCTACCACTTCCCAGCCTCCCAGCCCAGTGCTGCTCTGAACTGGCCACAGTCAACCACAGGCCTGTGGGAACGCCAAGATAAATACCAGGTTGGCCTTGGGGCCTGGAAGACAGTTGACAAAGAGTGAAATAAGTGCACTCAGAAAGCCAGAGGAGAATTAAAGGATTATTTTGGGAGTGGGGGTGGTTGAGATGGGGGGGCTAATTGCATCAGATGGATGGTGTCCTTCCTGGTTCAGGACACAGTTCCTGGGATAGAGTCTCTCAGGCTTTTGAGGAATAGTTGGCAATGACTGTGCTCATAGCAGGAAATGTTTGAAGGAACCAGGAGAGAAAACATAAACAAAGTTTGGGGTCAGGGTGATTGTTAGGAAGTGAGGATGGGCAGAAACATGCAGAAAGACAGGGACAGAGAGAGAGAGAGAGAGAGAGAGAGAGAGAGAGAGAGAGAGAGAGAGAGAGAGAGAGAGAGAGAGAGAGAGAGAGAGAAAGAGAGGCAAATGAACAAAGTGAGTGGAAGAGACATGGGGATGGAAACAAATGGGATCTCAGAGGTAGAGATTCAGTATGGAGAGGAATAAATGGAAGATCCGGAGAAACACCCACCACTTCAGGTTTGCCTTGGTGATGGGGACTGTGGTAATTTCCCTAAGGATTTCAGCTCTCACAGGCTTCGCACAATCTATGGAAATTAGGACAGAATTGGAGGATGGAAGAGATCCCATTCAAGGCTCTAGTAGTGGCTGGAAGAGAGAAGATGGGGTCGGAGATGGGTGAATCATTCCACTTAGGGTGAGGTCTTGCTTCCCAATTCCCAGGAGGAAAGTGTGAGCTTAAGGGATATACTTCCTTGTTTTGATGACAGGGAAATACAGACCCTGATGGTTGAAGGGGGTGATGATGGCACCTTCTTGCGGTGATGGTGGTGGCACTTACAAAGTTATCCTGTGATATTTTTTCCTTTTCTCTAGTGGTTCTTGGGGACAGTGGACAACGATCAGTGCTTACTGTATATGTAATATGTACCTGTGTCTGAGTACCTTACCTGCCTGTGCCACTTGCACCTGGAACCGTTTGAAACAAGATTATCAGGCCTCCTCACATTCCTGGGAGAGACAGACTGATGAGGCACCAGTGGTAAAAGAGCCTAGTCCCATAATTTCCTGCAACATTTTGAACTTATTCCTCTCCTAGCAGTTTCCCCTTAGCCCATAGAACTTTATTTCATTTTTTTCTTATAGAGAAATCTCTTTTAATCCTGTGCTCTCTTCTACCACCTCTGTCACCTTTTAACCTTTTACCCAAACTTCTACATACTTTTATTTTTCTCCCTCATCTCTCCATTTACTCCTACATTAATTTTTCTGGATTCTGATCTAACACTTCTTCAGGAAAAACAATCCTTTACTCTTTATTTGATACTAGTGGCTCTGTGCACGATTTATGCACATCGAAAGGAAAATAATTACAAGAAATATTTTAATATTACAATTTGCCCTTTCTCTGTAATGGATGCTGGCCGCTGTCTGCAGGGCAACCAGTGGGGCAATCAGCGGGGTGTAACACGATTCCCATTCTTTCACCTGTTCCACCATCCTGTTGTGGTCCCACTCTTGTTGGCGCTCATCCGGGTGCTTTCACTGCCACCCACCACCAGTGCTGCATCGCTGACACGTTCCCCGCCCTCCCCCCCTGGTGGTCAGCGCACATTGTAGTGAGGGCTCAAACTCCTGGCTGAACTCTCAGTCAAGGGGACAATTTGCATGTTAGGCTTTTATTATGTAGGATTTCTTTTATGTATTGAATTTTTCTGACAAGTTTACTTTTTATAAGTAAAATTACTCACTTTTCATTACCCATGTTGATTTAAAATATTTAAAGATATACAAAGATATAATAAACAAAATAAAGAGAAAACCCATCTTTAAGAACATTTTTGAACACTGGAGGAAGCACAGGCTGGAGGGTGGATTGAAATAATGAATTTGTTTTCCAAAGTGTTACAGTGATCTGGCTGGTGTGTGACCCACATCCTGCATGATCCAGGGTTCAAGATCCGGAGAAGGGCCGCGTGCAAATGAAAGAGACCAGACAAGAAATAACAATTTGGAAATATTGGGGGCCAGGCAGGAAGCCCAAAGAAAGGAGAAGGACTTCCACTGGTACTCAGGCTTTGCCAATCTTTTATCCAATTTTGGGTACACATCTAGCCCTTAGTCAGACACGCAATTGTGGAAACAGATTATCTTAAAGGTCAGTAAATATTAGAAAGATTTACTCTGAGTCTATTTGGTCAGGAAATTGCTTGAGCCACCATTGTCTGGATTAAACAATCGGTGTATAGCTCTGGCTCTTGCCAGGGGCTCAAGGATCACCAGCTTTCTGGGATCCTTGTTTACACTTCTCCTATAGTGAAGACAATGGGTGGCTTCATACATGCTGGGTTTTAGGCAAGTTCAATACCTAAATATGGAATCCAGGAGAGAATTTTGGGCTGGAAAGATGGTGATAACAAAAGTAATAACATCTATAATAATAAAAGCATAATATGCTAACTAGGCCAGATATCCTTCTGGACGACTTTCCAGATGAAGCTGGGGCTACGAGGGATGCCCCAGAGGCCCCCAGCCTTGACCCCGCTGGTGTGTCTGCGGTCTCAGGTGGGCAGGTCTCCTGGGTCCCTGTGCTCTCAGCGGCTCCCTCAGGTTCCTCTCCCTGTTGCTGTTGTCCCAGGTGATGTTCAACCATCATCTGAAGCTCTGGGGGTGCAGAGAAAAGGAGGGAACATTGGACATGACTGCTCAGAGCCTCCTCTGTGAACATTCAGCTTCAACAACCACACTGAGCAGCTACCACACACTGCCATCCCCTGAGATCTGAACATGGAGGGACATTCACTAGGCAATTAGGAGGGACTGAAGCTAGACAATAAGTCATATTTCCTACAAAGGTGCCGTGTCCGGCGTGGTTCAGTTGGTTGAGTGTTGTCCTGAAAGGCTGCTGGTTCAATTCCAGGTCGGTCAGTGCCCATACCCTGGTTGTAAGCTTGATTTCCAGTAGGGGTGCGTATGGGAGGCAACCGATTGATGTTTCTTTCTTACATTGATGTTCCTCTCACTCTCCCATTCTCCCTAGCCCTTCCTCTCTTTCTAAAAACAATTATATATATATATATATATATATATATATATATATATATATATATATATATATAATAGCAAGTAAGGTGTAGGGAAGAGCCTTTAAGAACAAAAAGCTCTAACTTGTTGGGATACTTGGGTCTCCCGTGGGGGCCAGAGAAAAGACTCAAGTTAGAGAAAAAAATATTAGAAATCAGAACAACATAGTGCTGGCATAAAAAGAGACACACAGACCAATGGAACAGAATAGAGGCCTGAAATAAACCTATATGGTCATAAATATATGACAACGGGGGCAAGAACAGATAGCGGGGTAAAATTAGTATATTCAATAAATGGTGCTGGGAAACTGGACAGATACACCCAACCCCCACCCCAATACAAAACTTGATCACTTTCTTACACCATATAAAATAATAAACTCAAAATAGATCAAAGACTTAAATGTAAGATCCAAAACCATATAACTAGAAGAAAACACAGGCATAAACTCTCTAACATTACTCTTAGTAATATTCCCCCCCCTGATATATCTACTTAGGCAAGAGAAACAAAAGCAAAAACAAACAAATGGGACTATAAAGTAAAAAAATTTTGGCACCGCGAAGGAAACCACCAACAAAATGAAAAGACAACCCACTGAATGGGAGAAGATATTTGCCAATGATATATCCTATAGGGGGTTAATATCCAAAATTTACAAAGAACTCATACAACTAAACACCAAAAACAACCTCCAAACAACTCAATTAAAAAATGGGCAGAGGACTTGAAGAGACATTTTTTTAAAGAGGACACGCAGATGGCCAATAGATACATGAGAAGATGCTCAATGTCACTAATAATCAGAAAAATGCCAATTAAAACCACAATGAAATATCACCTCACATCTGTCAGAATGGCTATCACCAATAAACCAACCAACAATGAGTATTGTTGAGGATGTGGAGAAAAGAGAACTTTCTTGCACTGTTGGTGGGAATGCAAAATAGTGCATCTGTTGTGGAAAACAGTATGGAGGATCCTCAAAAAATTAAATGTGAAACTGCCTATAACCCAGAGATTTTATTTCTGGGTACTTACCTGAAGAAATCCAAAACACTAATTTGAAAGATATATGCACCCCTTTGTTCATTGCAGCATTATTTACAACTAGAGGCCTGGTGCACAAAAATTTGTGCACTCTGGGGTGGCGGTGGGGGGTCCCTCAGTCCGGCCTGTGCCCTTTTTCAGTCTGGGACCCCTCGGGGGATGTCCACTTGCAGGCACAGGCCTGGGGGGTTGGGCCTAAGCTGGTAGTCGGACATCCCTCTGGCAGCCGGGACCCTTTGGGAGATGTCCACCTGCCAGCTTAGGCCTGCTCCCCAGAGGATTGGACATCAGTGGGACATCCTTAGTGCTGCTGTGGAGGCAGGAGAGGCTCCTGTGAGCTAGCTTCTGGCTGAGCGATGCTCCCACTGTGGAAGTGCACTGACCACCAGGGGGCAGCTCCTGTGTTGTTCGTCTGCCCCCTGGTGGTTATTGTGTGTTATAGTGACTGGTCATTCCTGGTAGCTCCACCACTAGGCTCAATTTGCACATTACTCTTTTATTATATACTAGAAGCCTGGTGCACAAAATTTGTGCACCATGGGGAGGGTCTCTGAGCCCTACCTGAATCCTCTCCAATTTGGGAGCCCTCAGGGGATGTCCACAGTATGGCCTCCCTCTGCAGGAGGCAACTGGGCTGATCAGGGGAAGGTGCCACCCCCATCACCCCACTGCTGCTGCCAATGCCAGCTGCCACAGCTGCCAAGGTGTTTTCATCATCATGGACTCCAGTCCCTTCACCACAAAAAAATGACAACTTTCTTTAGGCATTTTCAAGATGTCTGTTTCATAGGATATGACATTTCTCTCTCTCTCTCTCTCTCTCTCTCTCTCTCTCTCTCTCTCTCTCCCCCTCCCTCCCTCTCTCCCTCTTTCTTTCTCTCTCCTCACCTGAGTATATTTTTCCATTGATTTTTAGAGAGCATAGAAGAAAGAGGGAAAGACAGAGAGAAACATCAATGTGAGAGGGACACTTCAATTGGTTGCCTCCTGCATGAGCCCTGACCTAGGCCTTGGTCAGGAGCCTGCAACCTAAGTATATGCCCTTGACCAGAATCGAACCCGGACCCTGTGGTCAGCAGGCTGAGGCTTTGTCCAATGAGCCAAACCAGCTAGGGCAGGATATGACATTTCTAAGCCCCTACAGCAGTGGGCCTTTGTTTTTTCTTCCAGGAATGAGGTGGAAAAAACCCTAGATTACCTTCTTGGATTCTCATTACCTAAGTTACCAAGAACACTGCGAGTCGTGTACGGGAGTTTAGCGAGTGAGTTGTCAGAAAAGGTGTTTCCTCTGCAGCTCACGTGCGGAGGCGGGACAGCCGGCACACTGTGGCTGGCAGGCCCCGTCCTCTGTGGGCCTGCGCCACCCGTGGCTGGCCTCACCATGTATGCAGTCCCCTCCCACCTGCACGTGCAACCTCCTCCTGAGCGATCGTGACGTTCAGCATCCTGTCTATTTTGAATATTACCTATCTATCTATCTATCTATCTATCTATCTATCTATCTATCTATCTAACTATCTATCTATCTATATATATGATAGCCAAGATATGGAAGCAATTTAAGTGCCCAGCAATAGATGATTACATAAAGATGTAGTACAAATACACAATGGAACATTAGTTGGCCATAAAAAAGAATGAAATTTTATCATTTGTGACAACATGGATGGACCTTAAAGATATTATACTAAATGAAATAAGCAAGATAAAGACAAATATCATATGAATTCCACTTACATGTGGAATTTAAAGAAATAACTGGACAAAGAAAACAGAAACAGACTCTTAGATACAGAGAATAAAGTGATGGTTGCCAAATGGGAAGGAATTGGGGTGCCAGGTGAAAAAGGTGAAGTGATAAGGAAGTACAAATTGGCAGTTACAATATAGTCACGGAGATGTAAAATACAACATAGGAAATAGTTAATAATATTGTAATAACTATGCATGGTGCCAAGTAGGTATTGAAATTATTAGGGGGATCACATTGTAAATTATATACATGTTTAATCACTATGCTATACCTGAAACCAATCCTATCTAATAGAAGAGTGATATGTAAATTAACCACCACTCGTTCATAAAGATGGCGGCGCCCATAGTGGCTAGGGCGCTGGATGCTGGCGATGCTGCCCTGGCCAAGAGCCCTAGTGTCCTGCGTGCTCTGGCCTTCGGAGAGAGGGAGGTGGGCAGGTGGGCCTCTGGCCAGAGGCTGGATGGGGCGCAGGATTCTGGCATCATTGCAGGCTGAGGGACCCTCTCCCCCACCATGCACAAATTTCATGCACCGGGCCTCTAGTATAAAATAATACTGAATGTCAACTCTAATTGAAAAAAATTTGAGCATTACACCCTTAGCAGGGTGAGTTCACATATTTTCTTTAGCTTAACTGCTATAGAGAGATTGTATTTGGGGCTCAGTAGGTTAAGAAGGCCACTCAGCTAGTTGGGAAATAGAGCTGTAAGTCAACTTCAGTTTCTCTAGTAACAACCCCACAATTATAATGACAGACTTCATGACTTCTCAAGGATTCTTTCCAAAGGGGCATTAGGTCAATTGCACAATCTCTGGTTCAGAGGGGAAGAAAGAGATGAGAGGAATTGGGGGTGGGCAGAGGTGAAAGAGGATATATGGGGGATAAATGGTGATGGGGGGGGAAAGGGTTGGGAAGGATCTTCCAAACCTTTCATTGTAGGTGTGGTCCTCGTCACCTTCTTCCGTTGCCGTGGAGACATGGACAAAGTGGACTGTGAACGACAGAACACAGTGGGTGCCGGCCCTCTTACCTGCATCCTCTGCCTTCTCATGCTTTTGGTTTGCAATTGGGGGTGGGGGTGGACTTCAGAAAGCTTCTCCAGCCCCCACAATGGTGAGCCAGGAGGGCGTGGGGGACATGCTGGGGAAGTGTGTGTACATGTACAATTGGGGGGTGCAGGGCAGAGGAACTCAAAGGTTCTGTAGATGGAGTGTTCTTAGTGAGTCTGTGAATTCCCAGGGCTGGGCTGAGTGGGTGGGGCCAGCTCACCTTGAGAAGGGGATTGGGGATCCGGTCTTCATCTATCTCTTAGGGAAACAGAGAAAGGAGATAGTGATGAGGATGGGAGACTCAGAGGGACCCCACGAGCTGACTTCCAGGGGGAAGAGCCTCTGCAATCACCTCCTTCCTGATGTGTGCCTCACATCTGCCCCCAGGCAGTTAGCCCTGGCGGCTGCCCAGGCCTTTTCCTCCCAGCTTCCTCCTGCTCTGCTGGCTGGCTTTACCCCTGCATCTAATCCCGTCCTTGACCCTATGGGTTTATCTGTGTCTGCATCCTTGCATCAGACCCGGAGGTGCCGGGATTTGTGGTCCCTTTGCTGCATATGAGGGAACATTGGAAAAAGAACAGCAAATGGATCCCGCGCAGGGGCCAGGAAGGTGCAATCATTCTCACTGGTTGGAGGCAAGGAGAGACTCGCATCCTGAATTCCCGGCTAGCTGATAAGCATGCCCACTTCTCTTCCACTCCCCTGTCAAGCTCCCTGTGACATTCCCTGAGACCTTGCTCTCTCCCCAGACCTTGATGGGGACACTGGTGACCAGAATGCCAGCTGCTCCCTGAGCTTTTTCTAACTTCCCCTTTCCCCTTTGGGGGCTGTGGAGATGGCTGCTGGGACGGTCCCTCCCCCTCACAGCTGTCACAGACTCTGGGGGTGGGGGCAGCAGTGTCTCAGTTGCTGGAGAAACCTGGAAGGCTGTTGCGAAGCAACCAGCCCTCCGTTGACCACCCCAATTCCTGAGGGCTTAGGAACCAGGTGGTCTCCCTCCCCTTCCTAGTGTTGCTCCACTTCCCAGAGCAGAGGAAATCCTCCTGCTAATCCAGCCACCACTTTTCCCCTCCAGGAGTGAGGATCTCTCTGACTTCTCAGACCTGCCCTTCTATCCTGCACCCACCGTCCCTCACAGGATAATGATTTGGAAACCTATGTGCATATTTGTTATTTGGAAATTTACTACTTATTTGCTCCTGCCACATAGTAGGAGCTATAAAAATCAATGGGCCATATGACATCGCCACTTTTGTAGGTCACATATGGCTAAATATCTGCTAGGTGGGAGATATCTCTGATGCATGGCTGGTCTCCCCTCAGCCATCCCTTCAGCTGCACCTGTGGTTGATCATAGATCAGAAGCCAACCCTTTAATCCAAAGGGTCGAGTCCCCTCTGTTTGCGAGCTCTTCTTCTTAGATGTCCCCTCCCCACAGAGGTTGGAAGGGATATTTTTCAGCTTACTTTTGCTTTCCATGCTTACTCTCCTTTGGAGGAAGAGTAGATGATCTTACCTGTGACAGCCTGACTGTGGCTTCCCCAGCCCTGTCCTTGTTCAGTCCCTGGCTCAGGCAGGTTGGGGTGGGGCAGAGGGCAAGAGTACAGGACACCTTTGTCCCGAGGTTTTCTATCCAGCTTTAACAGAGATCCCTGCCTTTGGGTTTATAGCACATGTGTCCATCCATTAGTAAGGTAGATATTTTGCTTTCATCTCCATTAGGTAATGAGTATCATGTCATTTCTTATATTGATCTGAACTGGATAATCAAAAGGATAAAAATTGAAATTTCCCTAATCTAATCTCAGAAACTCCCCCTCAAATTGTTTCCTGAATGACATTAACTTCCAACCTCCCTCCCCCTCCCCCGCCCCACACCTGTTTCCAGCTCTGAACACATTTCCAGTAGGACAGTCACTCTGTTGATCTTCTGAGCACACATTTTTCATTTTTTTAAATCCTCGCTGAGGACATGCTGAGAGAGAGAGAGAGATAGAGAGAGAGAGAGAGAGGAACATCAATGTTAGAGAGAAACATTGATTGGTTGCCTTCAACCAGAAATTGAACCTGAAACCCAGATATGTGTCCTGACTGGAAATCAAACTGGCAACACTTCTACACACAGACTGATGCTCCAGCTAGGCTGCACACATATTTTTATATGTCCTTGGAGTAGGAAAATATAGATCAGAGGTAGCTCCTGGGTTGGACAAACTCAGTTTTCCACCTGTGAGTCTTTCTTTCTTTTTCTTTTTCTTACATAAAAATATTTTTAAATTTATGTAAAAAAAAAGCACCTCTGAAAGGCAAAGTATTAACTGAAATTTACCTGTAAAATATATGATTAAGAGTAACCTACTAAGAATTCTTACAAATTCGTAAGAAATAGGACAAGCATCTTGATGGCAAAAGCCTCACAGAAGCAATTCACAAAGCACAAAATTAATACAGAAAATTTGAGAGTGTGGCCAGGCAGCTTGAACTGGGGGGCAGTGGATTTTGTAGAATATATTGCCAGGCTCTTGTCTTCTATTCACCTGGCTTCCTCTGATATCCAGGTTAGAGGACCGGGAAAAGTGTGCTTCAGGCCAGGCTTTCAGAAGAATCCACCCCAGAACTTCCCCTTCGAGGAAGGAGGATCTTTCCTGGGAGGAAATTCAGAAGAAATTAGAAGCTGCAGAAGAAAGATGCGAGTCCCATGAAGCTGAGGCCTTGAAGCAGTTTGCTGAGCAATGAGAACAGGATAAAAAAATGCTTCAGAAAGCAAAGAAGAGAACAAACTACTAAAATGGCAGAAGAGAAATTGACCCACAAAACGGAAGCCAACAAAGAGGCACAAACACTGCTGAAATGGAGGGCTGGAGAGGACAGCACATTGAAGAAGTTCAGAAGAAGAAAGAATTCAAAGATCCTGCTGATGAGACTGAAGCTCACTCATTTGTTCTGAGAACCGACTTTCTCCCCCTCCTCTTTCTAAATACCCAAGGACTGCACTGGCCAGTGTCATTGTATTTTTGTCCTCCTACTGACAAATAGCCTAGAAGCTGATGAAGGACCACAGGTAGATCCAGATGATGTTGTTTTAGGAAATTAAGGGGAGACACAGAAAGTGTTCTATTCGTTTTCTAAAGTGTTGAGGTCTTTCTAATGTAGCATTTTTCTTGATCTTTTCTACTTCAGTACACTTGGTGTGCTGGGTCAATAGCTAGTACTGTATTGGCTCTGTGTACATGTTTGTGAAAAAAGTATGCAGTAGCTTCTTTTGAATTGTTAAGATGCTGAATATCAGTTCACTTAAAAAAATGTATGTCTTTATTGATTTCAGAGAGGAAGGGAGAGGGAGAGAGAATCATTGATCAGCTGCCTCCTACACACCTCCTAATGGGGATCAAGCCAAAACCCAGGCATGTGCCCTGATGAAGAATCAAACCTGCCACAACCTTCATGGCAAGTTCAGGATGAGTTGCAGTAGGGCCGATGATACAATAAGTACACTATATAAGAAATTTGAATTTTGAAAGCATTGGGGGGCCAGGTGGAAACCTCTTTTGTGAAGAGGTATACTGGTCCTGCCCACTTTTATTCACTTTGAATACACATTCACCCTTTAGCAATGCATACAGGCAAATCAAAGATAAAGTTTGGTAAACAATGTAAAGATTATCAGGTCAGGAAATTGCCTTGAGCCATTGTAATCACAGCAGGAGCAATGCTGTGCTGGTGACATCCCTGCTGACCACCCAAGTTTTATGGCCTTCCAGGTTCCTTGTTGCATTTTCATGCCAATACTGTTATGCTTTGGCCTCAGGCACAAACTGTGACCTTCTGGTTCATAGGTCAACACTCAACCACTGAACAACACTGGCCAGATGCCAGGGGTCTTGTCCAGCATCTATTGTAGTAGGGTTCTAGAATCTGGAGAAGGGCTGCATGTAAATTATTAAGAAGTCTAGAGATGAAACATAATTTTGGAAGGCATTTTGGGGAGCCAGAGGAGCTTGGCTTTGGGACCAAGTTCTCCTCTCTCTGGACCCCTTACTTTTTATTAACACAAATTGTTCTAAAGCAAAGTAGATATACATATCAAAGACAAGGTTTAGTATACAGAATCCATTGTCAGATTGGGGAACTGCCTATGGCTGTTTCGGTGTTTGGCCAGTAGGAAGTAATAACATGTAGATTGAAATGCCCTCAGGTGTCTGGCAGCAAGCAGTCATTTATGCATCCTTTTCAGGTTTGGGAAAATGCCCTTAGCCATTTCCAACAGGCAATAATATGTATTTTCCAGCCCTTGCTGAAGGCTCAAGGTCCACCAACCTTTTGATGAACTTCTTGCATTTATGACCTGCTGGAATTAGCTTCTGGCAACTAGGTTCTGTTCATTTTTAAATCCCAATTCTGACCTGATATTACCAGATGCTACTGATCTTGAATGGCTAATAAAACTGCACAGTGCTGTTACTAACATTTAAATATCCCAGGTTTGTCTGTCACAATGACAGAGATGAGAAGAACGAACATAGCCAGTGGTGGTAAGTATGCAAAATATGAAAAACTGCTGACAGTCATATTGTTGGCAACTTGAGAACTATATCTTTTGACTTCACATCTTTCTGAATTTCTACTAAGAAAAATAAAAATGTATAAAGATTTAGTTAGACTACTGTGACCAATAATAAGAATAGGCTAAATAAATTACAATGGTATATCGATTTAATGAAATACTATACACTCATTAATGTTGCTGAAATATCTGATGGAAAGATGTTCACCATTAAAATTTTTAAATGGAGGCTACCAAGGAGCGTAATCAGAAAGAACAAGTTTTTGTAAACATAAGTGAGTACTGTGAAAGTCTAACAAAATGAATGTTTTCCTTCGAATTTATTTGCCTTTCTACAATGTGCACAGATTACCTGTACATTTTGTTTGTGTTTTTATGAAATAAATATTCATTGTTCAGATTACTAAAATTGTTTCTTCTTTTCACCCACATAGCTCCTTCCACCTGGTTCCCACCCCACCCTCTGCCCTTACACGTGCCCCTCCCCCCAATGTCCTCATCTATAGGTGTACGATTTTTGTCCAATCTCTTGCCACAACCATCACACCTCTTTCCCCCCAAGAATTGTCAGTCCACTCCCTTTCTATGCCCTTGATTCTATTATATTCACCAGATTATTTTGTTCATTAGATTTTTTATTTATTTAATTTTTAGTTTTACTTGGTGATAGATATGTATTTCTTTTTCATAATTTTTATCTTTACCTTTTTATTTTTCCTCTTCTTAAAGAATACCTTTCAGCATTTCCTATAATACTGGTTTGGTGTTGATA